ATAAACAGATGATATGAGATAGATGATGGATAGATGACAGATACAGACTAACATAGAAAGACACATAGACAGATGATAGAGATAGATGATAGACAGATAGACTGACTGACAGAGACACAGACCAACATAGAGAGTAGGTAGGTAGGCAGACAGACAGACACAGACAGAGATAGATGGATGAACAGACACAAACTGATAGAGACGAATAGCTAGATAGAGGCATATAAATACATAGATGATAAGATAAATCTAAGAGAGAGAGAGAGGAGGAGGAGGAGGAAGAGGAGGAGGACTGGGCCCCAAGTTGCCCATGAATCATGACATAAACACCCTGATTTTAACACACACACAAAAAAAAACCCAAACCCCCGCTTGGAACTGCCCCTTTCCTCACACTTAACCATCCTTAGTTCCTTGCTTAGAACTTGAATGGCTAAATTTCCCACCAGTTTCCAGACTGTAACCGCAGACAACAACAACAACAACAACATACTTTATTCATTAAACATGAAACTCAGTCAACTGAACATTCAAAAATGCATCACAAATACCATTGGCTTCTTATTTTATAATAATATATTATCACTATTATAATAATAATTATCATTATCAGTATTATTATTATTCAGAGCCAGTCAATATTTGTGATACATTTTTAAATGTTGACTGAGTTTCATGGTTAATAAGTTAACAAGAATAATCAAATAATACTAATAAATACTAATAAATAATACTACTAACAAAATACTAATAAAATAATAAAAAATACTAATAAGATAAAATACTACTACTAATAATAATAATAAAGCAGCGTCCCCCAAAGCCCCCCCCCAAGCGGTCGAATCTGGGCCGGCCGCTTTTCCTGTCAGGCCGGCCTACCTCGCAGGGCTGTTGTGCAGCGACCTCTAAGGGGCGCTTCGGCGGCCGCCGCGGTCTTTTTTTTTGTGGGGGGGGGGACGTGACCCATGGAGGACCCCGAAGGAAGGAGGGTGAAGGGACCGAGCCCGTCGCGACGCGTTTCCCCCCCTCAGCGCCATGGGCCGGCGCATCCCGCTCCCGACCGGCTTCCCGCCATTACCGTTCTCTCGTCCCTTCGCAGGCGGCCGCAGCGGGGCTTCTTAGCCTCCCGGCGCCCCGAGGGCAAGGAGGGGAGCGACGGCGACCGCCACCATCCCCATCCCCTCAGGAGCTTCGCGGAGCGGCTTCGCCGAGTGCACCCTAACCCCGCTGCTGGGTTGCCAGCGCCCCGCTCCGTCCCGCCCCGTCCCCGCGCTTAGCCAATTGGAACACGCGGGAGCAGGCGTCGCTCCTTGCGACTGGTTCCCTCTCCCTTTCGCTCTCGCTTTCTGTCAGACGGAGGGAATTTCCATCTTTTTTTCCCTCACCAGTCTGCTAGGTTGAGCGGTAGCGACGAATCGTTTGGATTGGCTGGCCGGGTTCGTTCCTGTTCGATGAGTGGCTAAAAAGGGAAGAAAGCCCACCCACCCCCCACATGCCTTCCCCCCCGAACGCGCCGAGATCAGTTGATTTGATTGGGCACGTTTTCCCAAGGACTCGCCTACCTCACTTCCTATTGGACCAAAAACCGAAAGAGCGGAGGGAAAAGAGAGCGGGGGCTCTCTAAAAAGTAAAACGTTACCATTCCTCCTCCTCCTGCTGCCCCCGCCCCCAGATTGATGACGTCATTCGGAGGAGGGCGGGGCCATGTGTCTGTCCTGCTATTGCAAATTAATAATTACAGTTGGCGCTTATCTACTGTAGATCTTTATTGGGGGATTCTTTCATTTCTATTGTTTCTACCCCAAAATAATTATTAATAATAAAAATAACAAGGTACAGTTGAAAAGCAAAGAATAAAAATGGAGGAACACCTGTTGAGACTGTGTGCAAATGCATATGAATGCATAAGGGGAGAGAAATTCGTTTAAAACAAGTGATTTTTTAAATCTATGCAGATCTTTGAATTGTTTTCGTATAGATGCTTTAAAATGTATTAAAAACTCTGCATAGAATATGTGCACTATTTTTAAACATTGACAGACAATAAAGGAACAAACTACCTACCTATCTACCTACCTTCCATCCATCCATCCATGTACCTTCCACCATCCATCCCTCTTTCTATCTACCTACCTACCTACCTTCCATCCATCCATCTATCTATCTTATCTATCTACCTTCCATCCATCCATCATCCATCTATCCATCCATCCATCTATCTATCAGTATCCATATAATAACGGGTATAAAATTGTGTGAATGGATGGATGGATGGATGGAGAGAGAGAATGAAAATAGATGTAATTTATGTCTTACACTAAGTCTTAGATGTAGAATAACTATTGTCACTTTGAATGTACGCTAATTGGCAAACATTAAAATGAAATTTTGTTGCATACAGCTCTCAATGGGTCTCCAGCTCCAATATACACCACATTTCTGTTTTTAATGGGATTTTTTTAAAGCAATGATTTATTTATTTGTTTATTTGATAGATATTGATGGCTACCTATCTCATACAAATGGCACTGAAAAAACCCACTGTACGAAACCAAAAAGGTTGGAGACCCCTGATCTAGAGTTTGCACAAGTCACTCTCTCTGCTTGTCCTTCCTTCCTTCAAAGAAATTGACCTATGGCAAAACTGCCAGTCAATCATCGTTCGCTTCCTCCAGCTTCAAGCTGATTGCCGAGTGTCTCCATATAAGCGAGATAAGTTTTTTTTTTTTCCCGTGCTCCGTTCATTTGTGCATCTGCAGTTGGGTCCCTGGGTCTGTTGGTTCTTCTTCCCTGTTGTGGTTCACCAGCAGCCTGTGCAGACGGCAGCGGAAGCAGACAGTGGGGAATAATGTGGACCAGTCCGGGAATCTGGAGAGGATTTGGACGAGGGTCCTGCATCCGATGCAGAGATGGGGCCAAGACCATCTGAGTGTGTGGTGCTGCCTTCGGAGCCTCTGGAGTCTGGCAGCAGCAAGGCAGAGGACCCAGGGGAGCCTGTTCCCAGTGTGTGTGTGTGCACAGAGCTGCTAGAAGGCAAGAGCAGCTGAGACAAAAGGGGCAACTCGGGAGTAAGGCTTGGAGGTGATTGCCCCTCCCATAAGGTATAAAGGACAGGCAAAGGTGACGAAACCTTTGCAGGAAGCAAAGTGGTTTGTTCGGTTCAGATTCATTCTTGAAGCTCTTTGTACTTCAGTTTTGTTTTTTCTAGTTCATTGGACACTTTTGTTATTGGCAGCACTTCACAGGAAGGAAAGGTGGGTGCTTATCTCGAGGGACTGTTTGACAATTCATTACCGGCTGGGAATGAAAATAATTCCCAGTGTTGCAATAAAACAAGAAGAGAAGGTCTGGGAAGGAGAGTTGAGTGTTAGAAAAAAGCAAAAGCAAAACCAAGAAATAAGCAAAAAGTCCATAGAGATTCTCAGTCCTCCAGGTCATGGTTGTCCCAAAGGTGCTTTTTCAAGAGGCAACTGGACTTTCTTGGTTTTTCTTTTTTTCTTTTCAAGAAATAAGCAATGACACTGAAAGGTTGCTAAGTTGCCGTGGCATCAGCCCTCTATTGTACTCGGAATCTCTGCATAGCCCAACAGCTATCGTAGTTATCACGCATCTTGCCCAAAGAGTAATGGCGGTGCCAACAACTAGCTATGCTGAGAAAATGGAGAACAGGAAAATGACGGAAACTTCACAATCAGGAACAAGAAGCCAGATCTTGGGAAAACACATCATGGCTGCATCTGCAGGAGGCCAGAATATGGAAAAAGAGAAAAAGATCTCAAGAAAACAAGCAAATGAAAACTGGTTCTGGGATGGCATTCATTCGACCATGTTGGTCATCATCCCCAGAAGAAAAATGTTTCCAGCACAAAGATTTGACTCAATGGCAAGCCTCTTCTTACAAAATTGAGTAATTATCATGCAGTTAAGGGAAAGTGGTGGGGTGGAAACTAGAGGTGGAGCTCTCGCCTCACAATCAGGAGGCGGTAAGTTTGATCCTAGGTAGAGGCAGGTATTTTCTCTCTCTGGGCACGATGAGGATATATCTGCTGAACAAAACTCTGCATTGGTGACAGGAAGGGTATCTGGCCATTAAATGATCTGCTAGTTCCATTCAGTTGTCAGACGCCGCCCCGCATGGGATTATGGGCTCATTTAAATGATGATCATCATCATCATGGGGTTAAGGGGTTTCCATCATCTCAGAGCTCCTTCCTTGGTGAAGCTTCACCTTTTCAACCCTAGCTTTAGAAAGATGCTACTATGCTGGCACTTCTGCACCAATGTGATGCCAATATGCAAATTATTTGGAACAATGCACACAGAAAGCATGAGCGGATAGGTGTCACAAAGGCAACCCCAGGTAGCCCAGGGTCATAGAGGTGGGGAATTCATTCAGGTATCTCCATCCAAGTCAAGAGGGACCTTTTGGTGTCTAGTGTTAGGACTTAGTAGATTTGACCACAAGGTGCAGCAGTCTTGTTCTCAGGTGCCTTTTCCAAGAGGTCTTGGCGCTACCTCAAAAGCTCAAACAAATGAGGACAGCAAAGTGCTGGAGATGCTTCCATGGAACTATTTTATGTTGCCTTTGCTGTTTTAGGACGAGGAGAAGGTACCCATTCTTCTTTCTGTTCTTTGGCTTGCTAAAACAGTGTTGACATGTAGGAACCATTTGGAGAAGCTTGTATCTAATATCGGTTTTGGATTCTAGATGAAAGAATCAGAGCATCTAATCCAAAAGAGGGTTCTAGACCAACCTGTATGACATTGTTCAAGTTGTTATTAATGGATTTCCAAACAGTCCATCAAGCAATGATACTTGGAAAGGGCATCAGTAAAAGAAATAATATTGTAAAATGCTGTCAGATGAAAGGTTTGTTTGATTCCCAGAGTAAATGTGAGGATTTCCTTAAGTGTCATGGGAAAAAATAATCAAAATATACAATTCCAAAGATGTTTCCACGGTTTTCAAAATACTGAGAAGCATTGCCCCCTTTTATTGAAATAATAATATGCAAATATTTCATTTTGTTTAGGAAAGCAATCAAGGATGCTATTCCCCGTAGCCTATAAAACAATTCAGAATATTCTACATAAGAATATTTTCAAGGGTTTATCCCATTCCGTGAGGGCCGTTGGCCAATCTATGTGGGACAGTCTGAAGATCACCTCTCCATCTGATGAAATTATTTGCTTTTCCTGCAGTTCATTGGAAAAAATCCTGGAGTTTTCTGGAGCCAAGTGGTACACGCCAGGTCTCGAACCAGTGATAGTCCACGACATCTTATCAGACAGCATTCCGGACAAGGACAACGATTGCATGGAAATTACTGCGATGATGCATGAAGCGAAAGAAAATGGCGATCTATTGAATAGCACTTCAGACCTGAATCTAGAAGATGACTCAGATCTGAGCAACATGCCCGTCGATCTCCAAGACTACCTGGATGAATGGAAAGGATATAGTACATTTCCAGGCCGTGACCTCCAAGCTGATGAGACAACGGCGAACCTAATGGATCAGATTATGCAAGGAGAACCTGAAGAAAAAGGAGAAGAAACTAGAAGTCATTCTGGACCACCTGGAGAAGACTAAGAAATGTAGAATGAAGGACAAATCTACATGAAGTATCGGGCCTGGAAGAATAACAAGAAGATTCTTATGCAAGCTATTTCCTTTGATTCTAAGAAGAAGGGATCTTGGCTTATAAACAAGCGTTACTTCAGATTTCGAAAGCCTGGTTGGTTAAGATCCAGAAAGTCTTCAGCTCTTCAACCTAGAGCGAATCCCAACAAACTATTTATTTGATTATATCAGCAAGGCATTTTTCATATCTGTTTTTTTTAAACACTGAAGCTAGAGCAGGGATAGGTGACTTTTTCTGCAGAAGGTCCTGTGTGGGTAGATCTTAATCAGTGGGTGAAATTAACTATGGTCTCTTTGCACTTCCTTATCCTTCTGACATTCGTTTTTTCCCCTTTTCTTCAGAGCAAACTAGTATGGATCACTCTCTTCAGAAGTCTAAACTTTGACTTGTAGGCAGCTTTGGAAAGAGGTAACTCTCAGGAGGCAGGTTATGTCCCCTTAAAATATAGGTATTCTTTGCAGATTCTGGATTTCTTCACAAAACCTTGTTGACTGATGATTGTGTCGTACTACATTTCTACCCTGTTTATTTCCTTTTTTTAAATAAACATTTTTAAAAACACTTGAATCTGTCTATTTCTTTAAAATGCAAGGAAGGTAAGTCAACGCTGAAGAATTCCACAGGAAAAGAAAGGGAAGAAATAGAATACCCCTTGTCCTCGTATAAAATATTGATAAGGGCAGTAGGCTTCTATTCTATCAGAAAATTTGAAACTGTGTTCTTTAAACCTGAATGGATGCTCACCTCATCTCACATGGTATATTAAAAAAAAAAAATCAAGCATCTTTTAAAATGCGAATCTGTTTTCCAACTGAGGTTTGGTGGTGGGAGGGGTGTTTTATTAGACATTATTTACAAAAAAATTAAATTGCTCTATGTCTGTAAACAGAGTGACATAAAATAGAAGAATGCATCCTGGTTCATACGCAATGATAGTTCATCATTTTCGAAAGCCCAGTTTGTGGAATAAGGGGAGTGTGCATATGAGATCTAAACCAGTGGTGGGGTTCAAATTGTTTTACTACCATTTCTGTGGGCATGGCTTGGTGGGTGTGGTGTGGTAGGTGTGGCTTGGTGGGCGTGGTTTGGTGGGCGTGGCAGGGGAAGGATATACTGCAAAATCTCCATTCCCTCCCCACCCCACTAACCTGCTTTCCAGCTCCCTTCTCCTGGGCAGGGCAACCAAAGAAGACCCAGCTGATCAGCTGGGACTCAATGGGAGGCAGAGAAGAGATGGGGTTGGCAGGGTCAGTCAGAGGTGGGATTTGCCGGTTCTCCGAACTACTCAAAATTTCCACTACCGGTTCTCCAGAACTGGTTAGAATCGGCTGAATGCCACCTCTGATCTAAACCATATTCTTCAGCTGACAAATTGTAGTATTTGAAGTCACATAAACTAACCCCCCCCCCAAAAAAAAAATAATAATCTGTGACCCAAGCTCTGTTTTTGGTGGGCTTTTATTTAAAAGTTTGAGGAACCAACTTCAGATTCCTTTTCTTTGAAAAGTTTCTCGCTGTGACTTGAAAAAATGATCTGCTCACTCAATTTTTAAGGGTGTCAATCATTCTGAATTCTGCAAAATGAAGAAAGTCTCCCACAATCATATTTTTTTTTGGGGGGGGGAGGAAATCTTTTAGGCCCCCAAATCTCATCTTTTGAAAATTAATACCTCACCCCAACATCAAACAACCTATTTCAAGGTCCTGTAGGCCATCACAGCTGAAAAAGAATCATGTTGGACTGGAAATTACCAGCCAGAATTCTCAGAAATTTAAACGACAGTGCAACACTTCTGGTAGCACAATTCTATTATTAGATGGTAGCAGCTATTTTAAACCATTTTATCTTTTGCTGAGAGATTGGATTAGAGATTGGTAAATCAGAAGGTCCTGCGCTACTGGTTTTTTTTTTGTTAGTTTTGACAGGAAGCAGTTTGAATGTTATATTTATAGTCAAAAAGCTGTCTGCTCACATACCAGTAGAGCTTATTTCAACCACAGTCTGCTTAACTGGCAATAACTGATAAATATTAATCCTTTAAAAATGCAGAGACTGAATGGAGACTGTTTCCTTCATTTCCATTTACTTTAACAAACTCAAGGGGACCTGAGGCATCTGGGAAATTGTAGCCTAGAAATATCTCTCATTGGTGACAACCCCATTCTGAATTTTGATTTTCTGGCTTGGTGAGAAATCTGACTTGGTGAGCCCTTGGCAAGAGGTAGATGGTCAAAGAACGAATGGCAATCCAGAAATCAGAATGCAGAATAACAAAGTTGGAAGCGACCTTGGAGGCAGAAGACCTTATTCCATTCAGATAATGGTTGTCCAATCTCTTCTTAAAAACCTCCAGTGATGAAACACCCATATAAAACCCTGAAATATGCTCCAAATTCTATCATCATCAATTAACTATGATGAATGTAAAGTATTTCCATTCTGCCCTATTGTTGAGTTTTGGAGCTGCTTATACAATATTTTTGTTTTCAAAGACCAGTAGACACAATCTCTAAGAACAAAGAAGCCAAAACATCTCATGTGAGATAAAGTGATATCAATCCACTGATCTTTAAAAATGTTTTCAAAAATCCATGTGCCCTTCCTCAGTTTGTAGAGTCCTGGTTCCTAGCTCAATCAATCCAGACATTTCTGGCGGAAATTTTTCATGGAAAAGTAGGAAAATAAGTATCCGGGGCAATCAATACATATCCCAGCTTCACTATTACACACAGATATTTGAAGATTACTATTCTCAACACTGACCAGATTATTGGGAGTGTGCCAGGATCTTGTCCTCATATGAAAGGAACCATATCATATTTCAAAAGGTATCATATTTCAAAAAATTCAGAGTCCTCGTGCCTTTTTGTAGCAACCACCTTCTTAAAACAGCACAATGAGATTAAAAATGAGGAAGCTCAGCTAAACTTCCTTCGTTAGAATAAAATAGAGAAGTTGACAAAGATATCTAAAGTGAAAGTCAATGTTTATTTGTCTCTGGAGAACTCAAAAGGAAGCCAGAAGGGTTGCTATCGCCGCGTTTTAGAGGCAAGAGCCTCACAACGTATGAAATCATTTCCAGAATTCTACCAGGTCAGGATTTGGTCTGTCTTAATTAAGAGTAGGTAAGTTTCAAAATGGTGGGATATGCTTGCTTGTGATTTTTGCTTAGGACTATATCTATTCCTAACTGTATTGTTGGTCCTGTTAGAGAGGACAGTAGGCTACATGGTTGTAAGAGAGTTCTAATGCACCTTATGCAACCAAATCGGGTGAAAACATGTTTGAAAAGCTTCCTGTGGTATGCTGTCAGATTTCTCAGGTAGAGCAAACAAGAAACATGTCCAGTTGAGATATTTCTACTTTATTGTAAGGCTACGTTAACTAAACCTTGCAAGTCTGATAGGAGAAATCTCCCGCCATCTCTTTGATAAGTTGGGGAGGCTTTTTTCTTATCCCTGTTATGCATCTGTGGGCCATGTCCCCTCTTATCTGTTCATTCCCTAGATAGCTTCTCTTCCCTCCACCTTTCAAGGTCATTCCCGCCTACCATTATACGTACCAATTACATTTTCCCCTGGAAGCTGTGCGATGGATGAAAACCAGTCCTACTCAGGAGCAAAAGAAGGGCAGGAAGACTCCACAGAGACATCCAAGCCTCACAGAGTCCATTCTGGTGACAAGGACGATTATGAAGACATGAATTCATGTCAAGCAACCCAGGAAGCAAAAGAGACCACCAACCAACCAGGTAAGCCATTTTATAGGATAGGCAGCTTGCTGTCCTCCAGATCAGGGCTCTCCAACCTTGGCAACTTTAAGACTTGTGGACTTTAACTCCCAAAGTTCCTCAGCCAGCAAAGCTCTGGGAACTCTGGGAGCTGAAGTCCACAAGTCTTAAAGTTGCCAAGGTTGGAGACCCCTGCTCCAGATCGTTTGCATCCCAAATCCCATCAGCCCCACCATTGGAGAGGCACTGCTAAGAATTGTGATCCAACACAACCACCTACCTGTGGTTCTGAATTCAGTTGCCCTTATTGGTTCATTCTGATTCTGAATTTGAATAAACCGGCCTTTTTACAGGGATGTCCATGTATACACTCCAGAAAGTTCAGATTAGAGTGAATGGGGATTTGACAGAACTGAATAAATCCAGAAAGGAAAAAGATGGGGGGAAGGGTCTTTTATCCCCTTTATTATTTATTTTGATGTTGGAACTACTAAACAGGGACATTTGATAAGATAAAAGAGTAAAACAATTACAAATTAAAACACATCAAGTATATGCTTTGTGCTTTGGTTGATGACTTGGTTTTGGTTTTGCAACAGCCGCTAGAGAATATTGAATATGCTAAGAGGAAGATTAAAACATTTGGAGAAATGGCGGGTTTGAAAATATATAAGAGATGACGATTCTGCTCAATGTACTGCATTGCATCCAGCAATCATGGATTGTTAACTGTGGCTTAACTCAATGTAGTCTATACAATTTTCCCCTAGCATTCCAAGTTAAAATTATTTCAGTGCTCTAAAGATAATAATATGAAATATCTTTATTACAGCCTTTGAATGGCCCTTACAATAAGAATACAGTAAAAAGGAGAAATAGTTTAATACGGCAATTAGTTATCAGGGAAGAGGCAAAATAGTCATAGGACAATAGAACAGCCTAGCTAATGAAAACTTTTCCACCATTGTGTAACTGGGGGAAAATATTTGGCCTCCTGATATGCGAGTATAAGGTTAGCATCCCTTCAAAAAATAATAAGCAGAATTGAGAATAACTTTATTTTTATTTTGAATGTACACTAAACAGCATACATTAAAATGAAATTTCATTGCATACAGCTCTCAAAGGGCCACTACCTCCATATAGTCCACATAATTGGTGGGTGGGAGATGGAGGGTGATTTTATTATATTAATTTATTGGATT